TGGCGACTGGTTCAAGATGTCGTCCCTGTTTTTTCCAAAGTCAGCTGGAGTAAGCCTCAACTCTTAATATCGTCAGTGGTATAGAATACGAATGGATTGATCATTTTGTATCATTACGGACACTTTAAGACAGCATCCACTGAGTGCTTTTTTTAGTGGTGTCCTCATGTACGACTCTGCTGTTCTTTTCTTTTTTTTAAGCATCAATACGTTTAAGCTTCCTTCAGTGCATGATGAATAATGAATGTTGAAAGGTGCATTATCCTCTGCCGTCTGCAGTACACCATATCCGTTAGAGGTTGAAGATGCAATGCAATGTCGTCAGCCAAAAGTCGAGGTCCTCGTGAAACTGTCACTGCAGCTCTCAGCGCATGTGATGTGTTGCATATGTGACGTGACAGAAGGCGCCTCATTATCTGTCGCTCTTGTCCAGAGGCGGTTGATGGTTATACAACATCTCTTTGACTAAATGGGAAAGAGAGACAAATTTCACTGTGAACATCAACGTCAAGTCGCACTGAGACACACTACCCACACTCACGCACAGCCGACGGTGCCCTGCAGTGTTGGGTAGCTACAGTACATGCTCTGTATGTTAGATACAATATGGGAGACATCAAACCCACAGGTTATTATGATGTACATTCGCACAATGTCATTAGATTCAGTACAAGCGCTACTTTACATGTACTGTATATCCAATATTCAACCTTTAGTTCACTAAAAATCACAGTGCATCCCAAGAGACCCACTTTACACACGTACTCACCAATTATTGACCGGTGTTTAAAATGGCTTGTTCTCTTTGATGATGCAATGTTAATGGTTGAACAAACATTCTCTTTCTGGGGTCTCCTGATAAGTGATGATTTTGGAGGATTGCGCCCGATGCCGGCGACATACACATGAACGGCATTACATCTGACACCATCCGAAAATGGACCAGATGGTAAGCGGATCCCACAAATGTACACTCAGACTAACGACGGTACCAAAAAAATATATATATTTACAGAAAAATGAAGGACCGACAACGATAAACAGGTAAACCAGGAAAAGCCAATGTGAACAAAAAAAAAAATTCTTGCAAACGGCAAATAATTTTTCATAGACGAAAATACACAATAGAATATGGCAAAAGTTCAATAACACGAGATTTAAATAATCCCACGCTCGGGCAGCTATAGAAATCTGCCTAGCCCCACTTCAGAAAATTACACATTGTGTATTTAAAGGAAACCTGTAAACTGTCTGAATGTCTGCTACCTTAATGCTAACACATAATCGGAAAAGCCAAAGATGAGCTACAGAATATCATCTGTTTAATGGCGTCACACTGCTTTAAGGATTGGATATTTGAACACATATGGTGCAACAACACTTGTCGACAGACAATAAATTAAAACTCAGGTATATGTTCTTTTTCTATTTGAACAAGTAACAGTATTACCGTGGATTACTGAGTTACTCACAGTTATTGAGTACAGCTCTTTTTCATTTCCCTGTGTGACTGTATCTATATCATGTATATTCCATATTATTATCGTTATTGTGGTCACTGCAGTGTTTTCAGTGTAATTCTCTGTGTTTTATTTTTGGTTTGTTGTTAAAATTCAACTGAATGTGGCAATAAATAGCTTGAACCTTCTTTTTTAATTCATTGTTTGCTATGTTTCAAACTGCGGCTTGTTGTGAAGTGAAGTGATTTGAGTTCAGCACTCATATCTCAACATTTTGCTCGCAAATCGAACAATGATTTTTGTCTCTCGAAAGATTTTAAGTCGGGTCGCTTGTATGTCAAGGCGCCACTTATTGCCTACCTACCTACCTATACACGCACACGACCACAAACAGTAAACAGACATTCATGCATGATGCACAAATACAGATGAGACACAAGAAGCACAGCTGACTCACATCTGATGACATGTTTGATGTGCCAGAGTTCATTCTGCCAACTGGCTTGCGGCGTGTGTACACACACACACACACACACACACACACACACACACACATACTCTCTGAACACACAAAAACATTAACAAACAAATACAATGCATTTTTTATGCCCAGCTTTGCAAACTTCATCATCGGTCTGCTTCCTGGATGATTCAGAATAAAACTGAAAAAAAAAAACTGAATTGAAATACGAGGTTCACAAATATTGCATGACGATTCATTTTATTATCTTTCAATTTCGGATTTGTGACAAAAGAGGATTCATCTCATAAATTCACCAATACATTCTTCACTCAGCACTTGATGTATTTGGTCCAGTTTATTGCTTTCCAAGAGTTGTAAAGTGTCCACTACACACTATTTTAAGAGCCACTGACTAAAATTAAAGCTTCAAAATGAATCATTTCTCATTTAAAGGGGCAAATTGACGAACAAAAGACAGTGTGTGGGACCAGTGACTTTATAGTTTTACACTACTGTGTACTTGTGCTGTTTTTAGCAATATTTTTTTAACACTTACCATAACAAACAGATAATTAAAAAAAAGAAAAACTTTTGGCATGAAGGGACAGAGCTATTTCCTCCGCTGTGTCAAATATTTTTGCACCCAGACAAATTATTCACAATGTCATAATGGGACAACAGAGGACACAATTAACCAGTCCACAGCAATACACACCCAACCAAAGTAGATCCTTTGGTTTCTGTTGTCTCTCTTGCATCTACAAACACAGCTGTCCAGAGTCGTCATGGAAGGAAGCGGCGGGTTTCCAGACCACAAGAAATTTTGTTTCCAAATGATTAGAGGGTGGGCAGACAGGACGCTCTGGGAGGCAGCAGCTGCTCGGCCCCCTGGCTCCAAGTGGAGCAGAAAATCAGGATAATTTCATTGTGAAAATCAGCATCCCGTTCCTCCAACCCGGCCCGTCACTGTAACCCACGATGAGGACAGAGGGTGGAGAGGAAGATCCAAAATAGCAAACATGAGCTTTGTGCTTGATGCGTTGCACTTTGTGAGTATGTGCACCAAAATACTCTTTGGGTCATTTCACCTGCAGGGGCTGTACATTTTTATCTTTTTATCGTATCTGATGGTGCTGTGTGCTATAATTTAAAAAAAAAAAACAAAAAAAAAAACGGCAGCTTGTTTTTTCCAAACAACCCTGGCTTTTGAACTTTTCAACGAGCTCAAAAGTAAAAGTCACATCCACTTTGCTCTATAAATACCCTACATTACCCCATTCAGAAGAAAATATTTTTCCTTATGTTCTGAATTGTTCTACTCAGTCATGTCTGTATTTCTGCTAAATGCTGAGGTGGAAGTTATATATTACAATGGCAAAGATAATACAGTATGCTTTGTGTCTCATTGTCTCATTTACAACTGTATGTTGTTCTACTTAAAGAGCTGTGCAATGGAATAACAAATGGGGTGCATTTCCCCAGCTGTGGATGAGTCCATTATGATGAATCAAAAGTGGGTTTGTTTGGCATGTCAAATGGAAATGACATTTTATATGAAAAGGACATTTTGTTTTGAATATACAACCAGTCTTAATAAACATACCTTTGACTGATTTCAAAAATTCTTTGTGGGCCTTTGATATTTTTATTTGAGTTCCCATCATCAATATAATTGTGACACAAGCACAACAAGCAGAATTGGTCTCAACGTCCATCCCTGATTTTGAAGTCCTCTTATTTTCCTTTTTATTTAATTATTTCATCTTGCTGTGGCCTCTTATTTTTTTCACAGCTCCTTGTGACTCGGAACAGGATTAGCAGCATAGAAAATGGTAGAATAGTTATTTATTATAATTCACTAACACTATTGAACCATCATCGGTTCACTTCACAATTCAGCTTGACATTATCACACTCTTCCTGTACATGCGACAAAAGTGGTAACATCTGTGAAAACCCACTGCGCGCGCGTGTGTGTGCATGCACCGTTCTGAGTGTGTTTATGTGCCTTCTCAGTAATTACAGTGTTACATGTGTGTGTATCTCTCATTTTTCACATCAGTCATTCCTAATGGGCAGTTTTATATTGTCAATCTGTTTTTTGGAGCTTGTGAACATTTGACTGCGCACATACTTGTTCCGGTGATGTTCCCATGAGTATTTTCACACTTCAATGGTGCATCCACACCAACACACATCCTGTGAAAGACACTACAGTAATTGAATGACTCCAACACATAGAGAAACATCAGTTTCTCAATATGTATGTTTTTAGGAGTCCATCTTAAACTATCTCATTGGATCACAATGGACGTTCTGCTGCGTATTAGTGTCTCACACACTTGGGCTGTTCAGAGTCATTCTCGATCCTCTTTATGTTGCTGTATATGGTGATTTTTCTGCTCTGTTCTGAATATGTAGTGAATATAGTTTATGCCCCATCTAGTACTTTCAATAAAGCATTTGAAAAATATTGAACAATTGCCACTTTAGAAAATCGCATATACTGTATCTGCTTTGTAACTTAACCTGAACCGACAATTGGTATCATGTGACACTAGATGACCTGTAAAGACTCGTGTTTTGGAACTGGAGGGGCAGATACAAGTTCCACTGCAAACAACAACAAAAAAAAGTTACATGAAAATTAGTTGTTGGAGAAATGTTAGTCTGCTCCCTAACGACTGACAAGTTACCCTTGAGCAAGCCTGTGATTCCCGTAATTCAAGAGGGGCAATGTAGTGTGTGGTACAAATATTCAGCAGGGTATGACTTTATTTTTTCCTTGAATTGATATAATAAATGAAATAAAAAAGAACTGAAAGATTATAGAATATGCAGTTAGACCTGAGCCATGTCTGCAATACTGTTTCTAATGTAAGATATTTCAAATTTGTAACTGTAATCGAAGTTCTGAACCTGGCAAGATCAGTATGTGTTCAAAGGATGCTCTTGGTTGGACTGCAGCCCTGACTCACCCCCCCCCCCAACCCTTTTTAAATTAGCGCCCTCTATTGGACGTCTAGGGAAGTCCATCCTAAAATGAAGCATCTGTCAACTTTAACTACAGGAAAATTGGAGTTGCACTTGAATCTTTGCATTTGGCATTATATCAGTCATTTAAAATGTTAGGATATAGGATATTTAAACACCGAAAGCTTTGCAAGGTTTGCTCTTGAGCGACAGCCCGTTTTATACCCTAAAATGTAAGTACTGTTTCCGCATTTTTGGTCCCCGTCCAAAAATAGAAAACTCATCTCAAAGGGTGATTCCATAAGGATATAAATTTATATGTCAGCTACATAGCTAATCTATGACCATGCTGTGCTGTGAAAAAAATATTCCGAAAATGTGTTGTACATCCTTTGTTGTGACTCCACCCCTCAGCCTTTTCCTCCATCGCACCTCGTCTTTCACCCTGTGAGGCTCCAGCCCGGAGTCAGCGTGTGCACCCCGTCTCTCTGCCCGGTTTGGGACCGTATCCTGGCCGCTTCGACTCGATGGGAACCTCGGCTTGTCCCCGGAGCGTCAGACGTTAGCGAAAAGAGGCTGCGGGAGCGCACAGAACATGATGAAGTTGGTGCTCCTCTTCGTGCTCTCGGCTGCATCTTGCCTCGCCACCATCAGTGGTAAGGACTGATGCAAATGCACGCGTGTATGGAAAGTCAGTCGAGCATTTATTCGATATCCTTGATATCCAGTTCAAGGTCCATGTACTAGTACCGCTACGCTCTTTGTTTTCGCCAGTAAATCAGGGCACTAATCGAAGAAATATATCTTACTAGTAACGTATTTACCGCCCCCCACCCCTACCCGCACATCCGTGTGATATTTATGCACACCGGACAAGTTCTGTCTGTAGGGGAACTACATATTGCTAGGAGTGACGCAAAACTGTGCACAAGCTGACATCCAAAACCAAAGGCTTCACTGTACCTGCACATATACAGGTGTAGGCAACTTCTCGTGAAGTGCCAGATGTTAACGAGTATATTTGTATGTCACATTGTATATTACTTTGTAGTTCTTTTTAGAATGTATCCATCATCTGTTATTTGCTGAAAACTCACGTATTTGCTGTTTTTGTATTCACACCAAATAAATAACACGATTGCTTTGTGCCATATGGTGGCATCTTGGTGTCATGGAAATATGTTGAAGGTGATGTGTTTTTCTTAGACAGAGGTAGAGCTTTGCTGCCTTTTGTGACAACTATCAGCAATAACAAACCTTTTATGTGGTGCATCTGTTACTTGCATATTTTCGCTAAACATGGCTGAGCTCGGGTCTGATATTGAATAGTAGGAGTTAGATGTCGTAATGACAAGTTGCAGGTCAAGCAAATTTTGGTGGGGTTTGCAATCCACCCCCCCCAAAAAAATCACTTTTGTCATATTTTTTATAACAATCAATATGACTTGACAGTAGGATATTATAAATTTCATCTGTGGAATAAAAAAAAAACAACCTCTGGCTCCATCTTGTGCTTCTAATTTGAGATGCAAGAAACCACTTTACTGGATGAAAAAACAACCAATTAGAGACAGAAGACGCAATTTAAGAGGTGTCAGTCGTTCGTTGCGGGCACACTCGCCACAGGCACAACCTCTCATGAATTTTTTCACAGATTATATTCATCCTGTACAAGGAATATAACAACACAGAGTTTTTTAATTTTTTTTTTTTTTTTTTTAATGTACGGTAAACCTTTTATGGTCCATATACGAGTATCCTCCTCACTCGTCAGAACAAGTGGATGCTACTAATGAGGCAAAACTACTAGAGAGGAATTTTCATGCGACCATTAGTGTCAAGAGACCAACTGTGCTAGCACATGCTTACTAGTTTGGCCTAGTAGTATTTCTAGTTCAGGACATTACTTTTTTTGAGAGGTTCAATTGCAGACTAGGATGCCCAAGGTGGTGCTACTAGTTTAAATAAGCATTGCTAGACAAGTAAATCGTATTACTAGTGAATTGTCTTCCTGATGAAGAGCAAGCTGGGAATGAATTTTTACCTCAAAACTAACAAATTTATTCACATAATAGCTTTATTTTCTTCATTGTCCGTGGTCATTTCATTAGGTACATTAGCTCACTTTGATGAACACAATCCAAGAACAGCCTCAAATTCAGGACCAGACTTTCACATTCATACTTCATTTGATTTATGGTTGTTAGATTTTTATGTTTCACTGCCACTGACGTTTTCATTCTAGCACCAAATGAGTTTGTATCCTTGGCGGAAATGGAGGACGCCCTCTTGAAGAATCTCTTCCAAGGCTATCAGCGTTGGGTGAGGCCCATTCAGCATGCCAACGACACCATCAGAGTCCGCTTCGGTCTCAAGATCTCCCAGCTGGTCGACGTGGTGAGAGGAAACACACCACTGCTTTTAATTCGGTTTCATAACTTAGACTTCACGATTGCTAATGTAAACTTGCTTCCCAGTTCCACTTCATTTGGTACACTTGCACAATGTCATGACATGCAAGAGTTGTTTTAAAAAGTTGTCATCTTTGTCAAGTCAGAATTTTGTGGCAATGGGTGGGTACAGCGGAAGATTCACTCACACCCTGACACACTGAAGTGACTTTCTTTCTTCCAGGCTATTTGTGTTCTGGTTTGCCACCATCTCCGCTGTGTCATCCATGTTTACAGGGAATAGCCCTGCCGTAGTGGTAAAAATCCAGAAGTCCATGTCTGTAAATACCACAAGATGGTGGCGAAGCACTACGTGAAACTTCTCAACTCACTCCAACATAGTTCCTTCTCAACAAGATGCCACACGATGGCGCCAAAGCCATACTTTAATATTTATAAGACAGCTCACTGACCTGAGCCACAACTAAAAGCAAAAGAACACTCACTTCGCATATGAAGATGGGTGTTTTGACACTTGAGTCTTTTGCTTTCATTGTGGGCCAGATTGGTTATTTCTGGTCTTTCATCTTGTCATGCACTTCCTGTCCCAACATCTATTGTCAAGGCAGAGTTTAGAATTATCTCAGTTCCTGAATTCCTGAAAATAGATCCAGAACACTTCCTTCATATATCCACAAGCATCCCATCTCTGACCGGAGTGCTTTTTTAATATTTCAGAGGCTGCCGCTGATAGGATGAAATGCTTTGGCTTGTTCAAAGGGAAGAAAATGGAGAAAGCTAATGGATGAACCACGCTCCACAGCGTGAAATATTCATCCCAACCATTTTAGCTTCCACCTGCTCCATGAGCTGAATACAAAGCCCCCTTCTTGGGTGAGAGAAAGAACCACTTCAGTCAGGTGGTCCTTTTGAATTTTGGACGAAAGAGGGTGAGAGGGTGGTGACAATGTGGTCTGCGCTGTCCTCCTGAGCCTACCTAATTGACTGCTGCAAAGCTCACTATTTGATTATGCTTCATCTCTGCTCAGTGTGATGGCCACAGGGCTCATCGGAAACACATCCTCACCTGCAGACCTTGGAAGTCACGTCTTTTTTTTAAAAATTATTGTGATTTTAAATCTCTGTTGTTTTGTCACTGCATCTCAGTGTAAAAAGGCCCAATATTTAGTGTTCTTGTTCTTGTCCTCCTTCATTTAGTTCGTCAGGTTTTCATGCCCTTTTGTTGGTCTATGGGGGGAAATAAATGAGGTTCTTAAATTGTTGCTGCAAGTCCAGTTCAATAATGTGTGATGTCATTGTACGACCCTAAACATGCCTAACATGAGACTGCACACTTGACATCCATTTCATCAGGTGCATTAAAGAGATTTAATTCACAGATGTATCCAAACTGTGTCCCTAAAAAGAAAAAAAAATCCTCCTCGCAGTATGATGCACTTGAAACACAGTAATAGATTTGATGTTCCATTTTTGGGACACCTCTGACAGTGTCAATACAAACCGAACAAAGTGTAATCTATGCAAAGGCAGATTTTTTAAATTTTTTTTTTGCAGCTCTATTGAATCCAATACACTTGTGCAAGTGAACCCAATGAAGTGAATGATCGGTATAATTGTCTAAATGACAATTAAACGCACCATGACTCCAAATGTGTTGTCATTTTCAACTAGCCTACGCTGAATGAATTTCTAGCCATACAAATACAACTAAACTAATTTGGTCTTTTTGTTTTGGTTAATTTTAAAACATGTGGTTATCTTTTCATATACACACAACATATTTTTCATGGTGTTCAGGATGAGAAGAACCAGTTGATGACGACTAATGTTTGGCTTTGGCAGGTAAGCAGGAGTCAATATTTTTCGTACTTTATCTGTTTATTGGTGTTCAAAAAAAAGTATAATACACACGCTTCACCATATAGCTGGTAAAAGTTGAAAAGCTCAACACTAATGCGGACATGTGGGATAGAACATGGATGGATGGATGGATTTGTCTTCCATTACATAATCAGCAAAAAACACACCAATCAAAGTTTGTCTATGACAATAAAAATCTGCATGAAGCCACAATAAGTAACTACCAGTAAACGCGACCTCAGCTGCATTTTGATGCCTGCGATTTATGAATAAAAGTGGTGTGTGTTTTTTTTTCTTTTTTTTTTTCTGTTGAGCAGCAGTGGATTGATTACAAGCTGCGTTGGAATCCAGACAAATACGGAGGCATTACTTCCATTCGAGTTCCATCTGAAAACATTTGGCTCCCAGACATTGTCCTGTACGAAAAGTAAGATCCAACATTTTCATAATTTTTCCACAAAGATGCGAGAGGGCAAATAAAGCATGTACAAAAAAGAAAATATGAAGGAATACCTTGTTCTTAATGCAATGATTGTCAAAGTGCAGTACCACGAGTTGCATTCGGGCTCCCTCTAATGGTATGCAAAATAATCACAAAATTAAATGTTCAAAAACTGTGCATCACGTGGTTCAAACTTTTTATTTAGTTCAAGACAGTTGGTCAAGAATAGTTCAGCTGTATTTAACATTTAAGTACAATGCATTCTGTTTACCCTAAACTATCAAGGCAAATTTTTTGTAAAACACTGTATTTCAATGGAATCATTATTTCAATACACTTTTTTATTTTGCTATATTGAATAAGCACAGTGATAATGTTCCAAATGTGTCTAATGTTAAATGAACTCAAAAGCATATGAGAAATACCTTTTAGAAATATAACATCTAGTTCGATCTTGATGAACACTTGGACCCACTACACTACCGCATTTTAAATTTGGTTGTTATGGTCGTACTGGCCCTGCGATTGGCTGGCAACCGATTCAGGGTGTCCCCCGCCTACTGCCCGAAGACAGCTGGGATGGGCTCCAGCACCCCCCGCGACCCTAGTGAGGATCAAGCGGTTGAAGATGAATGAATGAATGGTCGTACTGTACTTGGAGAACAAAGTCTTTTTTTGAGGTGGTTACCCGGTGTAAGTTTGAGAACCACTGCTTTGACTGTGACTGGTGACAATAGTTCACTCCATACACAGAATAGCAAAACTACAATATCAACAATAACAAAAAAAAAAATAAACTAGTGAAAAAAAAGTTTTGCTCTGCAGACATGGCATATGGAGTCCAACATTCTAAAATGCATGACTATTCTACGTAACCTTGTTTTTAATTTTTTTTATTGGTTTACACAACCCCAAAAATCAGCTAGATGGACATTGTGTGACTATGATTTTTCTTCAGCGCTGATGGCCGGTTTGAGGGCTCCCTGATGACCAAAGCTATTGTCAAGTACAACGGGGTCATCACTTGGACACCGCCCGCCAGTTACAAATCGGCCTGCACCATGGACGTCACCTTTTTCCCCTTTGACCGCCAGAACTGCACTATGAAGTTCGGCTCTTGGACCTACGACGGCAACATGGTAGACCTTGTTTTGATTGACGACCAAGTGGACCGGAAGGACTTTTTCGACAATGGCGAGTGGGAGATCCTCAACGCCACGGGCGCAAAGGGAAACAGGAAGGACGGCCTGTATTCCTACCCCTTCCTCACGTACTCCTTCATCCTGAAGAGGTTGCCGTTATTCTACACGCTCTTCCTCATCATCCCTTGTCTGGGGTTGTCTTTCCTGACTGTGCTGGTCTTCTACCTTCCGTCTGACGAAGGCGAGAAGCTTTCGCTGTCCACCTCTGTCCTCGTGTCACTCACTGTTTTCCTTCTCGTCATCGAGGAGATCATCCCCTCATCTTCCAAAGTCATCCCGCTCATCGGCGAGTATCTGCTCTTCATCATGATCTTTGTCACACTCTCCATCATCGTCACCGTGTTCGTCATCAACGTTCACCACCGCTCGTCGGCCACCTACCACCCCATGTCGCCGTGGGTTCGCAACCTTTTTCTTCAGAAGCTGCCGAGGTTGCTGTGCATGCGAGGTCACATTGACCGGTACCACTACCCGGAGCTGGCTCCCGAAAGTCCTGAGGTGAAGCCACGATCTGGAGGTCGGAGAGGAGGCCAGAGGGCCAGCGCTGGACAGACCACTTCCGATGGAAAGGAAGATGAGGCCTGGGCCACCATGCTGGAGAAGGCCATCTACTCAGTGCGATACATAAGCAGACACATCCGCAAGGAACACTTCATTCGAGAGGTAAGATGGCCTCATATTGGTCATGAAAGATCATCAGGGGTGCCACTGGAAATGATCAAAATTCAACTAATTGCATCCCCAAGAATGTATTTGTTAATTTACACTTATATATACCAGCGATCCATACCGAAAAGCAGAACAATAAAATCTTCTTCCACTTGATGGTAGGTAGAAGAAACCTGTGTATCCACCTGTTACCATTCAGGCAAGAGAACAAGCCATGGCTTCCTTCAGTTTAAAAAGGCCCAGACTGGTTGTTTTGTAAAACAGCCACTTTTTCCCCCTGCGTAATCAGACGTGAAGATACCTTGGACCAGTATTTCTCAATCTTTACTGCGTCAAAGTACTCACAATACATGAGAAAAATCTCACAGCACACTACCAAACAAATATATCACATAAAACTGAAATCATGATGAGATCGTCTCAATTTGCTCAGAAATTCTGTTACTCCGTGTGAAATCTGGGCCAGTTTAGTTGAACACAAAGCTGACATACACACAAGAATCTTGACATATTCTCTTGTATGAATGGCAAAAGGTGGATACACAAGCATATTGTATCTTCTGCCATCAAATGGAAGGTCATTTAATGGTTCTGCTTGTTGCTGTATGTCACTCGCATGGTTAAATAAAAATCTACTGTGTTTTAATTTACATATGAGTTTCAGACAAATGAAATTAAATTGGATCATTTCCCAAAGCACCATGGTTGGGAATCACTGGCCGACCTCAGCGCTGTTAATGCATTTCTATAGTTCAAGGAGTAATACAGTGTCACCCATGTATTCACCGAGTTGCAGATTGTATTTGGGGATCCTAAACTAGGTTATTTGCTGAAAAAAAATCACAGTTTTCGTTCTCAGCCCTAATTCCTTTGAGGTATAAATGCCTTACTCCTGCGCCATCTTGAGGCATACTGGCGTCAAGAAACTATGCTAGAGTGAATTGAGCAATTTTAAACTGGGTCGGGGAGCAATTACCCACAGGTTTTTGCCCCTGTCCCTCACTAATAGCGGGGGAACTTCTGTCATGAGTTTTCGAGTGTGCATTTACTGAAAGCTTCTGCAAACAGTGGAGTATAACAACAGCATAACCATACGCCTATAAAATGTTAAAGACACATTTATGTAGAAGGTAATCAAAGGACATTGTGAATCTTCTTATTCAAGCAGTTAGAGCATATCCGCTTAATGTTTCCGCACAAAGGAGAATCGCTAACTACTTGCCTGACATGCATATATTACGACATTTGCCATTTTATTATTTTTCCCCCCCTGTGTGAATGGGGATTGCTTTACAAATGCTATCTGTATGTCAAAAATCCTGTTTCTAATAGGCTGTTATATCTTCAATGTACCCTGGACTTTTTTTCTTCACATTCCTTTTCTCTCTCAGGTGGTTCAAGACTGGAAGTTTGTGGCCCAGGTGCTAGACAGGATCTTCTTGTGGGCATTCCTGACTGTCTCCATACTTGGCACCATCCTTATCTTCACTCCAGCTCTGCATATGTTCCTCAAAATCCCACCACCAATTGCAAGTGAGGATCCAACTGCAAGCTCACAGCTTTAGCACAAATCATCTAATTTCAGTCTATAAATCAGTAACAATGATTTCATTATAGAATGTCTGTTATCCTTGTAATAACTGTGACGCTTATTTATCTCATACTGGTCTTCCACACAGTTCTGTCTGAAACTCCCGTCCCTTCAATGTGTTCCCTTACTTAGACAGATTTCAATTGTTTTTTTCCTTTGGTTTTTACATATATAAACCTCACTTGAACCTTTTTGAATTACATCGATAAGTCAGTATCACTTCACTTGAAGAATTCATGTAATAAACACAACATATTGAAAATAATTTTCCTCTTCCAATATGTGCTACAAGAAGCAGCAAACCTAGGTCAAAATAAGTAGTGTTTAGGCAAATATTCACTGCTGTCTTTGCTTGAAATGTTGATTTTCTGCATTTGCACACAGTGATTACAAATATATTGCAGCTATGACTGAGTATAGAAAAGTTTTGAGGTCTTCTAATGAACTGTTTTAATCAGTCCAGCAAAATTGCAACGTGATGCATGCATGGTGGTTATTTGCAAACAATACATCAAGGTGTACCAGATGCAAGGTTGTCAGTATGTGACAGTACCCTCTACTGGTCACTAAAAGATGAAGACAGCTGTATTTCTTGCCTATAGGAAAATGTTATTTTGATTCCTGGTATGTATGCAGTATATGATTATTTTTTGTTCAGAACAGAATCGCCACTATTTCTGTCGTCCATAATAATCACAATAATAAAAACAATATGACGTGTCAATGTATTATTATTCTTGTTCCTAATATTTATTGCAACTGCAACAGTCTTCTTCATTCATTTCACTAAATGTACATGATTGCACGTCTACACAATGAGAACATTCGAAGATGTTTCAAAACAAATCAAAGCAGCCTTTCTACTTGGGAATGAAATACTAAAGTGGGTGTCAGCCAGCACACTTCTAAATTATATGACAGGTATATATATCTGTATCTTCTCTTGGTCATATGATTTGTTTCCTTTGATATTACTGGATAAACGGTGTATCTAATCACCACAAACAAAATAGATTGAATTGCCTTTTTTTTTTTTAACTCTCATTCGCATCTTAAACATATCTACAGAGCAGATTTATAGCTCAAACATGATACATTCGCCTGGAATTAGCGACTTTATAATCATGTTTGTCGATCCCGGTCCCGGTCAACCCTCATATCATTTTTTCTTCTTGTGCACTATTTGCGTCCTCCCGTCTGGCTGTCCAAGTGAGCTCTAGCATTGCGCAACATCTCCATGTACAGCCTGTTGTTCTCACTGCAACATCAATGGAAAAAAATGTTATTCATGATATTACTAGGATAAAGCAGTTCAGATAGTGGATGGATATATATTATAACGACATCATTATTGTTGCAAATGATCTCAGCTCAGCCCCAAGTATTATAAACAATTTAAAAATTTGGTATGCATTTACAACTTATACATTCAGTGTTGTTTTCATGTGTTAGAAAATTGTAGTCCAACACCCACTAATGGAGGAAACTGAGTAGGAAACTGAACAGCAGTAATCTTTCTTAACATACACAGTGATGTGCTTGTTTTTGGTAATTTCTCTTCCACTAGTAATGTACTGAAAGTCAAAGATGGCATTCATATTCATTTAAACAGAAATACAATTTATGTAATGCATCTAGCTATGGCGCACAAATGTATCAACATTACTCATCAATTATAGCTGCATGTTGCTAGGTAGAATGTGTCGGGCGCAATAATTAAGCATTTGTCAAAGCCCAATAAAACTAAAAAAATGGCACACGTCATGCTCCCAATGTTGGTTTCTTGCCAACTACTGGTAACGGACCTTAATGAAGAGGAAGTGAGAGTCGGCAGGAAAATTAAGCTTTTTACAGGGCATCGTTGGCTGTGTGTGATATGATGGGGCACTGTCTCAGTTGCCCCTAAAAATAGAAAATGGCCATTGGGCACCACATCAGCGATAATATTGTGTCACTTACTCCGCCACAGAGCGGTCAAACATCAGGCTGCCGATATCCATGTAGAACTGGGCATCTGTTCGGAGGGCTGTCCAGTACTCGTTAGCCTGAGGGACAGAATCAATGTCATAGAGATTCATTTAAGAGATTCTTTTTTTTTTTTTGGCAATGACTTCACTGTACAGTCACGCTGCTGCAAGTGAAGAGCGAAGTCATTGACATTACAATGAAAAGGTTTATAATTGCCTGTAAATGGCGGAAAAGCACTACAACTACATGAAGCTCCTTAAGTCATTTCAACATAGTTCCTTGGAACCAAGAAACCACAAGGAGCCAAACCCACGCTTTTATTTCAGGAAAGAGGTGATTTTTTTTTCTCAATAAATATGTGCTGTATGTCTAAAACTAGAGGCCGTCAGGTCACCTGCTCCTGGATGGTGAAACCCCACTGATTCTGAGAATTGTGGGGGTCCCAGTATCCTGACTGTCTTTTCAGACGGATGAAGCGATTTGCTTCCTCTTCTTTCAAGAATGGGGCCGCCAGAACCCCTAAACATAAAAATGATGACAGAAGGTAACAGCAACAGTGTAACACACCATCTACAAAACACACCCTGTGCTGTTGAATAATGAATTGTGCAGTGGGGGGAAAAAAATTCAATAAACAAACTACTTTTTTGTGTTTAGAGATATTCTAAGGATACATCCAATCTGAGATTATTTTTTTGCATATTTCCCCCCCCCCCCCACACACATTTTTACATTATATTAACCACAATGTCAGGTATGCCTAACCAATCCAACACAAGAGCTTTATGATAATGCATCAAAGTTTATCGTGAAATATTCAAAAATACACATTAATTTTAAATTCAACAATTGTGTTTATTACTGTGAATGCGTTGTGTACAGTATACTTATTTTTGCTAAGACAGGGACGCTATGGCCGGACAGTGCAAGGATACACATTTGGGAGGATTATGACAAAATGATTATGATGATGTTTAAGTTAATCATTGTACTTACCAGTCAAAAGAGCAAGCAGTATTAGAAACTTCATGTCTATAAAACGAAAAATTCGTGTTTTAGGGGTGTAGTATCAATTAAAAAAAAAAAAAACTCCTGAGTGAGGAAAATAAAATACAGTACATCATTTATCCAGAGAAGAGAAGTTCAAAATTTACCTGCAAAGTGAGCGCTGATCTCAGCTCCTACCTGAGAATCTCACAAACGAATGTGGAAGACAACAAGAGTTTCTTTCACGGAGAAGCAGAGAGGAATGAGTTTAGTCAAACAAACAAGACTGAGAAGGTAACCATCCAACACACACGCACACGCACACACACACGCACACACACACACACACACACACACACACACACACACACACACACGCACACACACACGCACACACACACGCACACACACACACACACACACACACAGACTTTGCTGCTTCACTCTGAGATTTATGATCAACATCCTGCATAGTCGTAGTCGTCAATGTGTCAGTAGGTTTTCAGAATGATATAAAATAACTAAGAAAACCAATGGTTTTATTTAAAATAAAAAGAACACGAAAAACATGCGTGTACCGTGGAAACGCACAAGTCTGCTGTTTAATGAGGTGACGTTCTTGATGTTACAGTTAAGGTTAGATCATATGAAACCTAAATAACTTGAAGGATAATTTAAGATTTAAGAAGAAACTACAACCGTGCAAGCAAAAAAAGCGTACACAGTGCTTGTTTCAGGAATACTTATCGGAACTTCTTTTTAATACGTGTGTAAGTCCCGCCCGGTTATCTTGACGACGCTGTCTCTGATGACCATTGTTTTCTCTTATCTCAGGTCCGACATCGTTATCCTCCGATATAATCAAACATGAACTACCCCAGCCCCCGCCGTCCCCATTCAAAAACATATTTAATCAACGTCAAAGTATGCTTGGCCTGACACTTATCTTAACTCATTCACACATATAGTACTTACTGCTCAGACTTTACGATCACAATTTGTTTTGAATGATACATTCGCTGTCTCTTTTTGTGCGTGTCGGATCTGTGTGAGTGCGCATTTGTTTGTGCGCGTCAGTACAATAACGTTTCCACCGCTGGGTGGGGTTCTGACTTCGTTCATGACTGCAGCAGCCCTTGAACCAATGAACCATTCTTAGAGAACTGCACTGCACCATACTGAGATCTGTTTCTAATACACATACTTTGATGACCTTATTGAGCTATCGGATCACATTGCATCGGAGTGTGCAGCTCTAACCAAGGTGGTCGTGTCCTCTCGGTGCTTTAATTTGTATGCTACTTATTTTACTTGACAGGGTGATGCTTATACTGCACGAGAAGCAGATTTTAGATACTTTCGTTTAACTTTACTTCGTGAGTAAAAAAAACCTGACACATTTAAATGGAAGTGACTTCGTTAGGTTTTCTGTCGGTTCTCCACTTTTCTCCCAGATTCCACAAACATGCATGTTCTCCAAGAGCTTTTGTCTTCAACAAGTGAAATTTCAGCATGTTCAAAATTCTCTTGCGACAAGAAAGGTACTGCACAATCGAACGACAACATTTGCGACTTTGAACGCAACATTCGTGTCCTTCCAAACACTCGCAATAGTTCGCGGCTCAGTGGGATTGGGGTTTAAGCAGTACTGTATCGTGATTGTCAAAGTGTAAAAGGCATACCTTGTACTTCTGGTATGTGACCCCCCCCCCCCCGTCGAATATGAAATAATCCGTGTGTAAATAAATGTATTTGGCTGTTTAGTACAATACATTTGCAATAATTGTTTACGCACTCTGTGTTTCTCATCATTTGTTTTAGCAACATTGGTATTTACTTTTATTTATTGATTTGCTACTTGAATATATATTTTAATTGGCTCACTGTTTAGGTACGGTACAGTTTTTTTCTGTTAAGTAAGTAGGGTGTTAATTATCAAACTATGCATGTTAAAGTGGTTTACAATAATATTGACTAATCTTTTTTACGAATAAAACCAATTTTGTTAGTCATGATGGTATGCTTGGAGAGCTTTTTTTTTAGATTGAATTTGTGGTAAAAGGTTTGAGAACCGCCAGTTTAAAAGTGGAAGGATCGATGGACTTGAATTCCAGGAACAGCAAGACAAGGATCATCATGAGCCGAATCACTTCTACAAATGAAAAAAAAAATAAAATAAAATAAACATATATTGCTGTGACAGGTTCCATTTCATGCTTTTGTATCCAGACATTCCCAATTCTCCATCATGGTCTTTGTTGTGAGCACAGATTAGAAAAGACAACAAATGAGGGAAACTAAAAAAGAAAATTGCACACGACTGAGGAGATACAGAGCCAAGATAAAAGGGTGAAAACGCAATGCCACAACATTTAAGTCCATTAGTGGAGCACTGCTCATGTATTAAAGATAAGAGAATTAACATCTCCTTCCTCCCTCTGCAGCATTTTCTACACTTCACCTCTCTACTGTCTCTCTTCTGGCACCCAGCCACCGGCAGATTATAGTTCTCTTGTAAAAGTAACACACCATTATGCAGGTTCAATGGTTTTTCTGTCATCCATTGCCATACATGTTTAATTTTTGTCATAACTTTTTATTCATTCTGTCTTGATTATTGTCTTGCTGTATTAGTTAACATTTCTCAACTGTCGGATCTTAAACTGGGAAACTTTTCAGAAACATTTTGTTCCATGTGCACAGTTGTGTCTGCAACCCTTAAGGCACAAGATGGGCTGAATATATTTTGTGGAACCAATCTGTTTTCACACTTGGGAAGGAGAGATTCATATAGACCATAATACTTATATTACAAATCTGAGAATAAATTGAATGCATGAAATCATCACTATGATGCTACCCCATTGCACTGTTGATTTTAATGCATGGAACACATATATATTAATTAAAACTTTAAATTGTGAATCCTGTATGTTGGTGTTTGCAATGACGGTGTCAGTTGGGAGTAAACCTAACTGGGATTTTTCTACAACGCAGTTTAGATTAGGTTCAGGACACAGACCTGTTAGTTTGTCAACATGTTGTGTACTTTTCTGTCTCGTATGTCATTTTAATACCAAATTGTCAGTTTGACCCAGTTTGTCAACTTTGGTTTTTTTCCACTCGGAAAATCATATCATGAGCTCATCCTCTATTCTGCCCCAGTGTGCTACCTAAATGTCACTTGTACTGAAAAATGTGGAGAACATCGCAACTTGCAGTCATCGATTGTCAAGCAAAAACGAGACATCTGTCGCTGGTAAGCTTGCGAGAACAAGAACATACAGTACTGTGCACATGCAGCTATGACACTCTTGGTCGCTTTTGACCAATAATGACCCAACCTGAGCTCTTCCACTACATATAGACACCTTCATACAATAAAGACATCATACGCCCTTGACTTCAGGCATCTCTCACTGCAGCGTTTATGAGCAAAATCCTTGAAGACCCATTTTGTCTTTACGAGGGGGTGCATATTCCCCCTATAACATCAACGGCAACGGTGACATTTTGTTTCACAGAAATTGCCACAGGATGAAGTTGGTTTTAGTTTTCATTCACAGTCGCTGAACTTTAGATTATAATCACACACGTTTTTATTTTCAAGCAATTTTTCAGTCTTTACGGCTATATTTTTAATGCAAACCCTCACTGTACATCAATTTTACCTTTACGAGAACAGGATGGACTCATACAGCATGAGGATGCACACACTATATGTCACCTGATTCATTTTTGCTCTTGGATAATGACTTTTTAGTCCAGTAGTGATCCCGTGTGGCTCTCTGAGCACCTTCAAGCAGGGCTTAAATTCTCCAGGAAATCAAATCTAATAGGATGAGATATAAGTGAGATATGAATGTGTCTGCAGCACTGCTTTTTGAATGACATAAAACAGGCAGAAGAGTGAGTCAGTGAGTAAGAACATTTTAGTATTTTTTTTTCCACCTCATTGCCTCTTGGATTCTATTTCTGCCAGGAATTATCTGTCGAGCTCATCTGGTTCTGAGGCACGCTGGCCTAGAATAACGACAAAGACAGCCAACATTGCAAATGTAGGAAATGAAACTTGACTTAATAAGATGTGACATGTTACACCTAATATTCATATTCAATCATCTGCAACACCATTGTGTATACTTGCACAGTACTGTATTAGAAGTGGTGCTGTTCAAAACCATTGCAAAATATTACCGCAATAACAAAGATACTTCTCTGACAGTGAGTATTAAAACTGAGCATTATTAGCAATGGAAAAGGTGATATTTGTAATACAATTTTTGGGGGGTATCTCATGAGATGAAGGTTGTACACCTGACTCTAGTGAGTCCATTCACTTCAGACAGAGATGACAGCCATGGGAAACAAACAACCAACTGGATTGCTGTTGTTCAACCCTTTCTTAAGCGACTAAAACTTGACCCAGAAGAACTTCTGTCACCATAGGCCTATTTCAAATCTTGAAATTGCAAAAAGTCTTGGAAAAAGTCGTAGCGCAACAGCTTCATGATTACGTGGCCGCAAACAATCGATTTGAACCTTTTCAGTCAGGGTTTAAGGCCCGCCATTCTACTGAAACGGCCCTTGCTAAAGTGACCAATGATCTTCTCCTAGTTATGGACTCCAACACCTTTTCAATATTAGTATTACTCGTTCTTAGTGCTGCTTTTGACACTGTTGATCCTAACATATTATTGGAACGCCTCAGAATGTGTGCTGGTATTTCAGGCTCAGCACTTTTCTGGTTTAGTTCTTACCGCTCAGAGGACGCACCATCTAATTTATGGTAATTCGACTTCTGAGTTTTGTAATGTTACATGTGGAGTCCCAAAGGGATCGGTATTTGGGCTTCCTGTTCAGCCTCTACACGCTTCTGCTTGGTGACATCATATGTAAATATAACATTAGTTTTCACTGTTATGCTGATTATAGCCAACTGTTTTTGCCGTTAGAAATAACTAACCCGTGCAGTTGCGTGCCTTGCTCAGATGAAACAATGGATGACTTTTAATGTTTCTGCTTCTTAACCCTGATAAAACTGAGATGTTGATTAGTGCCCCTGCTCAGCATCGGCACCTATTCAAGGACATGACTTTCAGCCTCAATAAATGTACTGTTACCCAAAGTGATTCAGCAAAAAAATCCCAGTGTTATACAGTATTTGATTGTACACTCTCTTTTCAAAATATATATCCGCGTTTTTTTTTTCACCTTCGCAATATCGCTAAGATATGTCTCATTTTAATTCCCGGTGACGCAGAAATCATAATTCGCACGCTTGTTATGTCTCGCCTCGATTATTGCAACTATTGCTCTCTGGTCTCCCCATAACTTGTTTTCAGAGGTTGAAGTGGGCACAAGTAGAGATGTCCACATACACTTTGCTGTTGATTCATTGCTGTTTTTTGGACATTATAAGCGATGTTTGTGCAATGATTTTGAATGCACAAATTCCTCTGCTGACTCCCACCGTGGGAAGACATGGAATGAGGGAGGGGGGCGGAGCCATATTGCTCTGTAGAAAGGCGCCTTTTAAGAGTAGTTTCGCCAAAACAAATTGATTAAATTGAAAATGTAAGATAATATTATTTTCCTGATCAAAAAATACGAAAAGTTTTTGAGTGAAAAATGGACCATGCTCACTGGACCGTTCCTTTAATAAGCAGCCTATAGCCTACTCGGTTAAAAGCTGTATCATGTCCAAATGTACATTTTCTGGCTAAATACATTTAAATCCTGCCTCAACCTCCACAAGCGCAGTCTCGTAAAAGTCTCGTGAACGCGCTAATCTTCACTTGTTCTGGATTGTCATAGCGGGCACGTTGGCCCCTCCCTCACTCACCTTCCTCTCTCCCTCCCTCTCCTCCTCGTCTCTTTACCCCGCCTCTCTCCTGCCTCTTGTTCCCGCCACCCTCCAAAGACGAAAGAGCATCAGCAGCCGAGAGCCCGCAGCCAGGGGCGCTGCCACCTGCCAGGATGCGGTGCCACAAGTTTTGGGTCGCATGTTCGTTTGGATTTTACGTGTGGACTGCCTTTCTCTTCAAAGGTATGTATGACACAAACAAATTATTTACAGTACACACTCAAGGTCTGTTCAGTAAGGGCACAGTTTGGAACTAATAGGGTGGCTGAACATGAATGCAATTATGACATCTGTGTTGGTTTTGTATTTCAGCCAGGACTTGTTTTGAAATTTGAACAATGATGACTGCACTTGCAGGACAAATTATACAATTAATACTTTTTCAGATAGTTTACAATTCAAATGAATTGAGTAAATATTTCTAAATATTTAGATCAACTTTTATGCTCCTCATTACTCACTTGTACAGCAACTCTGCAATGATAAACAGTTCTGGACACGGTGCTTTTGCGATTATGTGTTGTACATATTAGATATAGACGACAAACATTATGCGTATTAACTTACACACTATTCACCGCTTATTGTCTTTCAATGTGCAATATTTTGCTGACATATAATGCATAAAGATATGTTTCGTAGAGTTTTCATACAGGGTGCATTATAATACAACTCTTTGTTTGGTTTCTTAATGTTTACAACAAGAGAGATATGAATTTGATTGTTTTACAATAATTTGTCCTGCAGTACTGTATCTGGTTAACCTTCCAAAAGAGAGGAATGTTCAAGTACAAAAACATGCAAAGAAGAATGAACTAACAACTTTATTATTGGGTTTACGCCTTAGATGTATGCATTATCTAAGCAACATAATGCGTCAAGTTACTGACATGATTTATGCATGATGCCCTTTCATGTTAAACAATGTTTCTTCTACTCCATTATTTTCTTTGCCACGATGTGATGACTCTTGGAACAAAACCAAAAACCACAGACACCTTTCTCAGATATCAAAACATGTCATCTTTGACAGAGGCGCATTTTAAATATATGATGGACAGAGTGAGTTAAACTGTTTCCTGTCAAGAAATGTTTGTGTGGACAGTCACGCCAATGATGAAACTCACCCAAAATTTCCCCTGGTTGCACTTCTGGTCATTACATGTGGCGGATTTAGGAACGTGGGTTTTGTGGTGTTTTCCATCTTCACTTCATGCTGGAGGTGACAGATAGAGGAGCAGAAGATTTTGCATAATGTCCCCAGGACATAGATGTCCAGTCTGTTATTCGACAGGCCAACGACATCCTTGGTGCAGTCCCAATTTGAGCTCCTAAACTCGGGAAGGATGTATAGGACCCCTTTCAGTGCACTAAACTGCTCTAAAAACTCATTTATCCCACATGCTACCAGTCGAATTAACACTCAATCAGGGGGACACTGACAGATAAGCTGGAGGACATGAGGGCAGTGTGGGGTGTGCATATGCCTGTCAGTTTTTATGGATTTTGGATGAGGCTGTGTTAGACTGCACTGTATTTTGTCTGCACTGTATTGTCCAATGTATGTAGCAGCATGGTGGGGAGGTGGGGCGGGATTTGTCCTCCTGCAGTAGACCAAATAAAGTCAAATTCAATTCAAATAAATTCAATTGAAGACTCTAATTTGACCAAAGGTGTGAATTTGCCTATATGTGCCCTGCGTTTGGCTGGCGACCAGTCCAGGGTGTGCTCCGCCAAAGTGAGCTGGAGTAGGCTCCATTTTAGTCACAATTCTAATGAGGACCAGCAGTGTAGGTAATGGATGAATGTATAATGGTGAAATGATTTATGATCTGTGTGCATATGTGCATGATAAGCATACATGTTCACACACCCTGACCCATCTTGAGCATCTCGGTTAATTACCAGTGTGGGTTCTGTGTTTTTCTGAATTTAAAAAAACGTGTGTGTGTGTGTGTGTGTGTGTGTGTGTGTGTGTGTGTGTGTGTGTGTGTGTGTGTGTGTGTGTGTGTGTGTGTATATATATATTCAGATCTTGAAAATGCAAACTCTACACAGGAAGTTCGGAGCCAGAATCGAACCCTGCACCGCTGCACTGTGAGGTAGATGTGTTAACCAATTGTTCACCGCGCTGCACTATTGGTTCACTCAAGACGCAAAAATGCCAACTTGTAAGAATGTGAATTTGAAGGGTTTTCTACAAATGATCGGCATTTGGGTGGTGATGATTCCAAGACCTACCCCAATTCTGGCCAAAGGTAAGATAGATGAAAAAGGTTCCATATCACCCACAACTCTTAATAGATTAGGCAGAATAGGAAATGAATACATGGATAAAGTTTGGAAATTGTAGTGATGTTCTGTACCAATTTAACTGTAATGAAGGGCAATGCGCTCTCCGCTTATTTTAGAAATACATATTGTGTAAAGACAGGCGGCCCGGTAGTCCAGTGGTTAGCACGTTGACTTCACAGTGCAGAGGTACCGGGTTCAATTCCAGCTCCAGCCTCCCTGTGTGGAGTTTGCATGTTCTCCCCGGGCCTGCGTGGGTTTTCTCCGGGTACTCCGGTTTCCTCCCACATTCCAAAAAACATGCATGGCAGGCTGATTGAACACTCTAAATTGTCCCTAGGTGTGGATGTGAGCGTGGATGGTTGTTCGTCTCTGTGTACCCTGCGATTGGCCGGCAACCAATTCAGGGTGTCCCCCGCCTACTGCCCGAAGACAGCTGGGATAAGCTCCAGCACCCCCCGCGACCCTAGTGAGGATCAAGCGGTTCGGAAAATGAATGAATGAATGAATATTGTGTAAAGAACAGCAATTAAATGGATAAAGGACACATATAGAATAAAACACACATATTCCATCGAACAACATATTTAAAATATCTGGTAGTAGAATGGTTATTAAGGAATGTTCAGTTTTGCTTGTTTCGGTGCTCCTCTGGCAGTTGTGTAAACAAATATTTGCAGACTGCACAGACCCCATTTATTGAACTCTGTTCACAAATGACGAGCGAAACACAACAGTGGCCTCTGTAGCATGTCATCACAGCGGCAATCAACCCATGCTTAATCAAACAGCTGCAGTCGTGTTGGAGTTGAATTGATCGTAAATTGAGTGGTCCGACCTGGAGAATGAGACACAAGGATGATGCAATAGAAAAATGACTGTTGAAATAATGCACACATCACTGTAACAATATAAACTGCAGAATGTTATATCATGCAGTAGACATTTAATAAATCGCACAGCTCTATTTCCGCACACTGAACGAATCCCCACGCCTTTGACGAAATTAAAGATATGCAAGTGTTCCAAGCATCCGCGGTATCATCTTTTCACGTGAAATATAGCCAAACATTACAGTGCTTCTGCCTTGACACCATGTAGGAAAAGTTCAGGAGCAGAATACACTTCTTGCTTGTGACACACTGTGATGGGCTGGTAACCAGTTCAGAGTGTCCCTCGCCTACTGACCGATGACAGCTGGGATAGGCTCCAGCATGCCCGCGGCACTTGTGAGGATAAGCGGATTTGAAAATGGATGGATGGATGGATGGATGCTTGTGACACCACCACTTCATTGCCACATAAGTGGAATCAACAGAAGGAATCATCAGGCAAGCAAAGACACCCTCAAAACAACATCAATCGTATTCTGTTTAGGAATATGATTCAAACAGCCACTAGCCTTGTGTTATGTATCAATCTAACACCCTACAACTTTATGGATTGATCTTTTATTCTTGACCTTCACAAAGGTTTAGACGCTCCAAAGCCCGAGTCTGCCTGGCTCAGATGCTGTAATATGATCTCATTATTCCCATTCAACACCTCAACTCTCCCTCGGTGTCTTTCACTGTCTTTTATTCTGTACTGCAGAATGATACTTTCCGCCAGTCAGCAATAAGTGCCTCTTTAATCGTGGCCTATACGTAGATTAGACGATTTAATGCCTTGTTCAGAGTTTTACCCACAGTATAAGGTGGCTTACGTGACACTAGTCACATTTTCTCGTTCTTGAGTAACCTCAAAGCAATGAAAACTTCTTGTGATCTTCATCTTTCAAAGTGAGAAACGTCAAACATTTCAATATGTTGATGGTGTTGTTGAGTCAATACCGCGGCAACACGAAAGCACCTCATGTGCTGTGATACTGGTGGACCAGTATATCATGTCTATCATGTTAGCCTAGCGCTAGCTTCAGTTTTAACATCACAGTTCAGTACTTATATCAACTATGCTACAGTTAAAAAGTCACCTGATCACACATTTATTAAACTTCACAAGAGTAATAACTTCTTATGAGTGTAGAATACTCAACAAAACACGTTTTACGAATTGTGACTTTTTTTGTACAGTTTCAGCTCCAGAAGGATTTGCGCTGATTAGGAGAAGGTTCAATGAGCATGAAAGTTGAAGACACATGGGAGGCCTTTGCTCCCGGATTAGGATTAAACATGATGTGGTTTTAGGGCTGTGATCCCTTACCATAGATTATAAAACTCTCCTATATGATTCGATCCAGCTCGGGACCCATTAAGACATTTGTCCATATGTTCTGCTCATCACGTGTTGCTCTTTCTACTTTTGAATGCACGTTCTCAGTGATTTAGAACACCCTCAAGTGAAAATAGAACACTAATACAAATACTTTCACAATTCTAACTCCTGAAAATAATTGTCGTATTATGCGTTGCTGAAGTAACTTGAACACATATTTGTAATCAGGATTTACACATGCACTTGTAACGATAAATCGAGGCAGCTTTACCTTTTTTAGCAGACATCTGAAGGGTTTCATCTGCCAACAACTTCCTTGAATGTTGTTCCCTGATACTTTGTCAAAAATTACTTGAGCAACTCTGACCTATTTTGAAATTATGTTTGGTTCAGCTTTTGCCCAGCTATCATGTCCCCTAACACAAACGTTGTTACGATTACGCGTACAGCTATTGTGAAAGCTAAATAAAGATATAGTGTGTGGTATTATTTAACAGGATGACCAGGGTTTAAGATCACAACTTCAGGGAGCATACCCCCCCCCCCACCCACCACCACCCCATCTTCTTCTCTTGACCTAATTAATTGGTGGAGGTATTCAAATCCATTTGAGATGTGTTTTGGGCTCCTCTGTTTCTGAAACAAAAGTGTGTCACCATTATTTATTAAACAACAAAGGGTGCTTGGGGAGTTTATTTTTCAGCCCTTTTCCACACAGGATTGCAATATTTGCATTACTTTTTATACATATTTACACACAAGCCAGCATATATTTGTAGCTGGAGATGTGCAGAGTTGTCTTTTGGCTGACTCACCAGTAGCCCCTGAGGGAGAGGTGGGCTGTCAACGCTTTGTCTGTGAAGAACCCGTTCCCCCCCCCGCTCCAGGTCTAGCATACCGCCCCAAAATGCTGAGGGAACGAAGCTCTTTGATCTTTCTCAAATGTGCCATCATGTTTTGTGTTGAACCGATCAAATCCGTAAAGTGTTTATCTGATTTTTTTTTCTCCAAAGAGCATCTGTCTTTGTGTGTTTAATCAAAGTTGATTTAATCTAATGCAACTAATTGGATGACCCTTTTTTAGTCTGTTTCGTGCAGATTGGTCACCAAATTTTTTATTCTTCATTACTCATTTGACCCTCATGAGTTCCAAGCATCGTTTTACTGATGCAGTGGCATCATTCTGCAGATATAACCAATTTCGATGCATCAAATCCTAAATGGACGATAAGTACATATGATAAAGAGTAGTTGTAAGTGGTACAGAAAAGAAGATAAACGTTTTTGCGACTGCATAATACATTTGACCCTCATGTTTTTGCACTTGGTAGAGGTAACTAAAAAGGTGGCGTATTTCAATAACTGTGTTGGATCAGTAATGCTACTTTTAGAGCGTAATTCTGAGTATATTTTTCTCCACACAATGTTGCATTGATTTCCTGAACAATATGCTTAAATTATACAGCGATAATTTATGTCAGCTAATTTACAATCAGCAAATAAATGTGTGGGAGTCAGACGCTGAAGCCTGAGCCGGTTTAGCGCTACTAAGCGCAGACACAAAAACATGACAGTGTCTTTGAGTGTGTGTGTTCATGAGATACGAGTGTGTGAGAGCCTGTGAAAAGAAGAACGGGTCCCTGTGGCAGTCTGTTTTTGAATAGACCGGCTCTGATGAGTGTGTCTCAAAGTCAGACGCAACGTTATCGCCGAGCTGTTTGACAGCAGTGGAGAATAATGGACTGATTAAACCCAAACAAATGCATTTACATTCAGGAAGGCACACACCCCACACACATGGAGATCCTACTAAATTCCTTCCATCCATTTCTAGGTGACGCAGACTAATTGGAAACGGTGCCAATCATGTTTTCCTTGGCTTGTTTATTTCAATCCGGAACCCAGTTGGCTGTGGAATGTGTTCATTTATTACACAAAAAAGCAAGTGGATTCAGGACAGCCAGAAAGATGAGAGGAGAGGAGAGGAGAGGAGAGGAGAGGAGAGGAGAGGAGAGGAGAGGAGGAGATCAAAAGAGAGGACGCTCGTACAAAATATACTCAAAATGAGGTTGCATAAATTAGAGCTTCGTGAGCAACACTGATGTACTCGTGGGTTGGGACAAAAACATATGGAGAGATTAAGGAAGATAAGATCAAGCTTCTGATTTTTCCAATTTGAATTTTTCATATGACATTTAACACCCATAAGATTCCAACGATGCTTGTCATGTGCAATATGGGTGGTCTGTTATCTGATGCATTCAAGACAATTGGGAAGCCCATTGGAATGCTACTTGAAGTCATAGTCCGCTTCAAGAGTGTATTTGTGTGCAATGATGAATTGATAAGTGCAAGGGGGGTCAGGTGTATGTATGAATTAATTATTCTATTTTGGAGTAAAAGTGGGTCGTGTCATTCAGACCAGTGCTTCCCAAACTTTATACATTGAGTAGTAGCAGAAAAATTTGACACAGCACCATCGTGACCAATGTTAAAACGCAATATCGCAGTCGACCTAAAAACAAGACAAAAGGAAGTAAAAAGTAGATTACATATGATTGTAGCCCACTGTGGCATTAACTTTCAAGCCGTGGAATCAAGGTTTGCTCTCCCCAGAATCAGTTTCGCTCGCCGCGGGATCAACGCTTTTTCTCTGCAGATTCCCGAAGGGGACTAATTTAAGCACACACGCAGTACACAACACAGTTTTATGAGGTGAACATTTATTCTCGACATCAACATAGGAATTGGGAGAAATTCATCAGAAGAAATGTAACTATGGTGGAAAGATTAGCAAAGAATGAAAGTATAAAATGATGAAAGAAAAATAAAACAAACCAAAAAAAACTAAATTTGGATGATCTTGTCATAAGATAGTGTTAACAGGGTGTGCCCCTCGTACTGCCTGAAGACATCTGGGATCGGCTCCAGCATGCCCGCGACTCTCATGAGGATAAGCGGCTCGGATCATGGATGGATGGAACGTTCAGCCCATATTTCTACATAGGAAGAAGTGCAGCGTGCTTCCGATTAAGTTCAAAGTTTACGCATCTGCAACTTAGAGTTAAGAGTTTCTTGTTTCCTTTCAAATTGAACTAATTGCAATGGCATTCTGAGCATTTGCTGAAATGAACTCTATCTTGTACTGCATCACATCATGTGAATAATATGACCCACTTAGCATCCATTGCAGCTTGGTCATCACAGAAAAGGAGCTTCACTTCATCTGTAATCTTGTTTTTATGTCATTCATGTATTGTTTTAACACTTACTTGTTTTCATATGTATGCTTTTTACTTAATGAACAGTCCTTTGTGTGCAGGTGTGGTTGTTTTTTTAAGTGCTCTATAAATAAAGTTGAATTGACTTGTCAAACCACTTGAAGCTCTTTTGAGATTGCAGTGATGCCTTGAGATACGAGTGACCCAACATAAGTTAGGCAGCTGGAAGAGGATAAAGCCTCTCCTGCTACACTGAACAGGAAAGGCAATAAAACAAAATGGATGGGTAGACCTTATTCACATGTATAGTTTCATCTTTCAGACCAAGAAGTGTTTCAGTATATAACTATATAAAGTATTTTAATACATTGCTGTGCAATATAATTTGTGTAGGGTCCCTCTGTATCACTCCAATTGACAGGAGGTCATTGTTTTCTGCTATTTTTGTCAGGGTTTGTGATTGAGAAAATTAAACACAGCCAAAACAAGAAATCCTGCTGTGCATCGCCAGTATTCTTCAACACAACACAGTCGGACACTATCGGTTACATATGTCTTGTCTTACCTGCCCCAATTTTGAATGGGTGCTTTTCATAAATTTCTGTCCAAAGATATTTTTTCGTTCAATTTGCCACATTGATCTAGGGCAAATAAATCCTGCTCATTTGCGACACCAAAGCCAATCCTGTCTGACCTTAAGTTAACGTACTGGTATATGACTTCCCAATCAATTTTCTCTTGTGCTGATAATTGACCATGCTTTTCTGAAAGCTGTAAAAAAGCAGTGACTGCTGAACCTTGACATTTCCAGTAATGATACACACAGTGATGGAGTACTGATCATACTCATGCTTCATTCATAAAAAGAGGTACTAATAAAAATGAGCTGTGGTGAATCAAAGTGTACCGTGACCAAATAAATAAATACATACATACATACATAAATTAAGTCGGTCGTTCCAATATCAGGGTGTTAAACAGTGCAAAGGAAGAAATAAGGAAGAAATAATCACCATGCTTCCTTCTGCTACAAGAATTTCTGTGATCTCTGCTTTTCATATCAGCTTCATTACTGAGATGATTAATAAACAAACAAACAAACAAACAAACAAAAAGAATGAACTGGGAGGCCTCCATTCCTGCCTGGTGTGAGCCCTACACGATTTGTTTGGGCATTGAAGACTGCGATTATTTTCTTCCACATAAGGAACAATTTCATGAGGCAGGCAGCAGCAGTGGCACCAATCTTCCCCAGCCCCCACGACTGACTGCATTATTTTTTTTCACGTTTGTGTGGACCTCACTTCCCACTGTGACAAAACACATGGACTCATTATTTAGTGTAAGTATACACTGTGCAAAAGTACACAGATTTATGACTTTTCTTGCACTGTTTGTTTCTTCAGGGTCTTACTACTGCCCAATAAATAACCTGCAGCTTCGTATTTTATCCACAATGTCACAGGATGACAGAAAATGTTGGTGCAAAAAATGTATTTGCAGTTTCCGAGCTCATTCTCAGTAGGATCCTGGATACGAACGCAGAATGTCGGGGCGTTATTTGTTTTGAGGCATAGTGGCCTTGTTGCTCAGCAACAGATTCCTGAGAAGATGTGATGATTGACATGGCAAATTGATTCAATAGTTTATTTGTAAAGTTATTGTTTGTGTGTCTGCCTCACAGCCAAGAGATTCTTGGATTGAATCTTGGCACAGGTGCGGAGTTCTCCTCATGCTTTCATCCTTCTTGCTCACTGTCCTAATTGTTGTAGAAATATAAATAATATTTCTACCTCAAGTCAGGATTGAAATCTCCTTCTCAATCATTTCTGCCCTCCCAAAACTAAAATTCAATCTATAATTTTCTTTGATCAGTAATTTCAGACATTTTCTCAAATGCCAATCTCTGTCATGGTGTGCCGACAAGCTCCTGTTGCTTGCTTTCTTTTTACCTGACCTCAAACGCTACCCTGCCATAACGCTTTCCATTTTGGTCTTAATGGGCCGATCAACACACTGCCAGGCTGAAGGAGTGCTCCTTTAATCTTCAGAGTTGAGATTGACTTGATCTATTTATGATCCATCTGAGGATAAGTTCGATGTGGATGATGGCTGAATGGAAGAATTGATGGATGGGCGAGGTGAACTGTACTATGCTACTCTCTAAGTGTCACTGAAAAAAAACAAAATCTTTGATGTGTTATGGAAATCAGCCAATGTTATGTAACTTTGCTACTTTGGTCCCCAGGATCTCTGCAAGGAGAGTACCAGAGGAGACTTTACAAGGAGCTGCTTGCTAACTACAACCGACTGGAAAGGCCAGTGGTCAATGACTCAGCTGCCATCCTGGTGGAGCTGGGTTTCACTCTCCTGCAGATTATCGATGTGGTGAGGAGGTTGCACTGTGCATGTCAGTACCTAGTGCAGGGATGGGCAACTTAAATGATGGGAGTAGTGGAGTGGGGCACAATTTTCCACCAGCAAACTGGAGGGCCGCGTTGGACTGTGCACTTCCTAACCGGATGTATGACCAAAATGACAGAATAAGTGTCTCTTTTTATTGAACCAATGTACAGAAGAGTATCTCCAAATATTTACATTTTAAAATGCATCGAGAAAAGATACTCTGCTCATCTACAATACAATACAATGCATCCTGATTTATATAGCACTTTCACAAGAGCTGCAGCTGTAACAATAAACTACAAATAAATAACAATTCGTTCCCCCCACGCCTTGGCAAATGGCTTTCTTGTATAAAATTCAAAGATGGCACAAAACTGCTGAACAGCAAACCAACGTTATCTGCAATAACTCATTTTGTGCATGTTTAAAAAAAAAAAATCAACCATAAGATTTTAATATTATACCCCAACATGTTTTTCTAGTCTGTCTTTCCAATCCCCAAATTAATAGCTCACTCACCCGTGTGAACCGTGCAGTATAGACACTTCCCACTGACGCCAGTTTACCCACAACGTTTAGTTTATTGGCAGCATATTTGAGGAAAACCCAAAAGAGAAGCTTTATCCATGGTTTGCGTTATCGGTCATCAGTCTACTTATGTCTAGTTTAGTGAAAAAGGTCCCTATTTGGACACCTGGTGCGCACTCATACCTCAAATCAAAAAATCCACTCAGTGTCAGCTCAGAACTTGGAAAACTCAGAAGTAACGGCTCCTTTAAGCTTCCACTGTAAATCATACCCTACAGATTTTCTTACTCTGTGGGCAATAGAAATGATTTTATTTTCTGTGGCCATTTTTAAGTCTAATGTGTATATGACTTAGGCTGTATGAGTGCATATGAGTGATGTGATAATGCGTTGCCCCTTGGTGCTCATAAAGCACCAAGGGGCAGAACATTGCACTGGCGGAAGTAATGTACTTCTGCTGTTTGATTTCACACAGTTGCTGATACGGGCGTGCGCGCACACACACACACACACACACACACACACACACACACACACACACACACACACACACACACACACACAGAGAACAGTATGTTTATACATCGTTCATTAGTGGTCTCTAGAATCCTCCGTTAAAGTCTTGCTTGAATTCAAGTTCTTGAAAGTAATTTGAATAGTTATTCAACTAAGAAAGAAAAAATACCTCCCTTCAATCAGTGTTCTTCCTCATAATTGATTTTTTCCCCCCCATCATGTGTTCCCGGGTCTAACACTTCAGGAACTCAACCCACTTTGCAGATGAACTCTCTCATCATGCAACTTTTTTTGGTGTTTTTATGAGTTTTCAGCTCTCCGATCGGCACCTTTATTTGACATTGAAACATGTATGTGTGAGCTTTGCACATACTCCGAATCACAGTCAGGGGCAAACTGACTGCAAGTGTAGTTGGCTTGTTCCACCGGAAAACGTAACGCAGCTGTCGGTCCAGTAACTTCATGCACAGTTGTGAAACACAGACCAAAGAACGGGATGTCGTATTGCTTGCTTATTCAGATGGGGCTTCATTCCATCCCGTTTCAGCGGCAAACAGTTGCGACTCTCGCTTGTAACTGAGCGCACCTGCGCCACACACTTGTGCTTACTGCCGCTGCTTGCCTTCTCTTTCGGTTTCTCCCCACTCCGCCAGTGTCCACGTCAAGCAAGCCGGCAACGATGCACTCAGCCCCTCAAGAAATAAACTAACTAACAAATTAATTAATTAATTAAATTACATTTTTAAAAAGCTTCTTGACACACTCTGATTTCTATTCTTCATGCAAGTGGACTGATTATCTTTGTGTTGAATCAAATTAAAACATTTGTTGTGCCTTTGGAAAACCATAATCAACATTTTTGCCTGTTTTCTGAAGTAATTCATTTTTGTGCAGTTTCTGCCTTGTCCGTTTAAATAGTGTCATGGTTTGAATAATGGGATGGAAATGAAAATGTTTTTAATCCGATTCATCGATTAAAAACAAAAGTGATTAATCGATCATGAACGTAATCTTGAAGCAACCTGCACCTATTTGGTAGTTTAAGCATGAATAAAACAACGTATAATAAACCAATTTGAACGTGTTACATGTCACAGAATGATGCCTCATTTTTTTTGTGTAGAAATGTATTTTAATTTATGTTATCTTTCCGGTGACAGGATGAGAAGAACCAAGTGTTGATGACCAATGCCTGGCTGCAGCTGGTGAGTCACTGGGAGGATTTTCGACAAGATATCTGCGTGGGATTTGCTTTGTCTATTCATCCAGAAGAACATCACAAATACTTCCATATGTCCATATGGTGTATAGCGTCACACATTTGCAAGGGCCTCGACTGCTTATGGTGTAAATGAGCCTTTGGGAGTTACACAGTTCTTAACCCCAACTAGGCTTATGGTTTGTCTGTTCAAAGATAAGATATCCTTTATTTGTCCCACAATGGGGAAATTTACAGTCCACAGCAGCAAGATAATGGGTAGAAAGAAGAAAGAAGAAAAGAAAACAAACACCGTTCAATTAAGTGCAATATAAATACAGATATGGATAAGGTCGCAGTGCTATTTACAATTGTCTTCCACATCATTTTATTTTTTTATTCAGCAGCCTGACAGCAGTCGGTAGGAACGAGCCTGTAGTACAGAAAGTTACAGGACTAAGCTATATAATAAAAGCTACAGAGCATAAAATCACAGCTGTAAGAAAAGCATGTGTGCATGAAAATGGTATTTTGAATTTTTATCAGCTCTCCCAAGATTGAAAACTGTCAGCATCGTTTTTAGAATGAAAGCTGAAAACACTCCCTTAGAAAGATGATGACCGTTCTCATTGGCCTATGTAAGCATGACCACAATAGTGCAAATCAAAGTCATACAGTCGTAGGATATCTCTCTGTCTCTCAGTACTGGACTGATGTCTACCTGAGCTGGAACCCAGAAAACTACCCTGGTGTCCAAAACCTTCGATTCCCTTCAGACCAGATCTGGACTCCTGACATCCTTCTCTACAACAGGTTAGAGTTCTTCCTTCTTCTTGCAGGCTCATTTACATATTTACATGCTGCAGCAGCATGTATGCATCTCTTCAAAGTTCTGCATTAAAGCAGGTTCATTTAATGTAATTTATTTGCTGAGCTGCTGTGTGTTCTTTCTTTTCATGGGTGTTTGTCAGAGACGTTCGCTCGGACAGTTGAACAAACAGACTCAGGAAGAGATTGTCTTTGCTGCCGGCAGGAGGTGCAGTTTTCTATGAAGCCCCTCCGTGTGCGCTTCTCAACTGACACCTGACCTCTGCAGCCTCTGCCGGCTTTTTATTGATCGTGTATGCAAATTACAAGTGATATATCAGGAAAACACTACCTTCTTCATTTACATGTCACGCCTCTCAGCCCAGCCCACCGATTTTACATGTCACGCCTCTCAACCCAGTCCACCTACACGCCCCTCAGTAGACATTTTTAGACCAAGACACCTCCCTGTACAAACAATGGATACCTTGTTAATTCAATGGAAATATTTCATATGAATTGAGACACTGTAAAAAACTCAAGGACATCTTATCGTGCTGCCCACCCGAAGTTGAACCTTCCTATTTGTACTATCAGTTAACAAGGCCTCAGCTCAAGTTGGCCCTTTTTTCTGTGTGCTCTAATTGTGTACAAGCTGTGTGAACACACGCGTTCGAGGTCCATCAAGCATACAACAAAATCAAACTTTTAAACATGATAACTTGGAGTTTGTTTATACTCTATCACTGTTGAATGGCAATATTACAAACACCAGTTATTAGAAAGCCACCTCCTGCATCGGTACAGAAAATGAAACGTGAGTAGCAGCGTGAGGAACCTGTAAATATTGGTGAAATATTGAGTGGTAAATTTTTCCCTTGGGGGTGGGGGTGGGGGGGTGATGATGGCTCAAGATGCCTTTGAACCTTTGCTTGGACACAACCAGGGAACTGAAGATTAATGTGTGGACATGTTTGCCCAAATCCCTCTGAGGCGTTCATTAAATCCTCTAATCCTAAATGGATTTTTCAAGCGATAATAGGCTGACTTCGCAATTATCCTAATGTATTGTTCAAATTCTCTTCAACTGTTCTTCCTCGTTCTCCCACACAGCAGCTTTATCTTGTTTAAAATCGAGGGGATTGAAGCAAAACAAATATCTGATGCAAATTATTATCTTTCCCAAGTGTTTTCTAATCTCAAGGGATTTTTTTTTCAAATTGATGTGAACTGAACATCTTTTGTTTTCGCTGTCATAAAAAAATTGAGGTTTTAAATATTCTTCTTTTTTCAATCGCAGTGTAATCCTTCTTATCCAGCACCATTTTACTAGGTGCTCTGCTTAATCCCGATATAGAAATATCTGCAAAATAATCTCACTCATTAGGAGCATGTTTATTATTCGGCTCATTCTGGATTAGGATATTAATCAAAATTGATGGACAAAGTTTTAATTCCTCTTTGGAGAGCAAACAGGGCAAAAGTGTGATATTTTAATAATGCGACCGTCTCAGATAACAGCGTATCAACACTATCATATGTGAAAACTCAATTACACAGCCCAGATACTACCTAAAGCGACTCACATTGTATATTATTAAAACATCCGAGCAATTATTGCTTTAACATTAAACATACCTGTCAACTTTTCGGAGCGCCAACCTATATAAACTACCAAAAAAATCCTTATAAAGAGCAAAAAATCCTTATAGCATACCAAAGCATTTTATATGTCAAAATAACGGCAGAAAAAACCCCACGAAATATGAATGATATATTTGTTTCCTTGTAGAACTTGCTTGTACACTACCGAAGTATGGAATGAATACTCTGCTGTTTTCAACTAGGAACCATGTGATTTACTGGAAAGTGAACAGAAATGAAAGCATTCGAGTAGACTAGCACCATTCTGGGCAAAAGCAAACGGACCTACCTGTTAGGGGAAAAAAACAAAACAAAAAAAAACGGAAATTTTCAGAATCCGTATGATTTGTGCGATATACGTAAGATTCACCACAAAATCCGTATGAACTATGGCTAAACCGTATGAGTTGACAGGTATGATTAAATAATGACACTGAATTATTTTTCACGTACACAATAAAAAAGTACCCATAACTCTGAAATCCATCATTCTAATAAACCAAGACTGTTACTACTGTCTAATTAAATATTAGGTCTGTTTCACACTTGCATGTCAAAGGGAGCATGAGGACAAAGCAAAGGTTTGGGTGTATTAACCCAAATATTCAAAGCCCAGCTTTTAGACCTGATGGATTACTCATTCTAATCCTACTGCTCTCAACCCTTTACCCTCAACCTCCCTTTCCTGCCCCATTCCCTCTATCATCCAACCTACCTCACCACTTGTCGTCGCAGTCACCATTTCACTTTCTCCTTCTTGCCATTATTCACTCTGTTCATTTATATCTTCCGAGCTCTCCCGGATACAGTTGATAAAACCTCCACAGAACATGATTTTGTCAAGCATTCGCTATGTTCCTCATCCTTTGTTGTCTTGCAGGGCTATCAATGCTTTTTTTGTATTTTGGACTCTTCTGCTTGTAAATTTGTGAAAATATTTTTAAATTCTTGTATTTATTCCGCTTAGTTGAGATAGTTGTAATCATTTTACAGTAGGTTTGTTCAAATTGCCAATTTTATTTGCCAAGAAATGTATTATTTCAGATTTTTGTTGTTTTCTTTAATTTGACAATTAATCATCACTCATGATTATAGGCTGAGACAATTATTTCTTGCATTTTGTTTGCCCTCTAAAGAGGAATTAAAAAGTATGGGGTTCCGCCATAAAATGGAATGCAAATGCAGAGATCTTCTACAGTGCTGTAATTGGTGATATGGTCATTGAGTAAAGTTCAGGTGTGCAGTGTGGCGAGGCAAAGAGATGCACAAAAAGTCAGGCAGGCAATTGAGCAGACAGCATCCAGTAACACTGTAATCTCACTGTTTCGAATAGTGGAAGAAGTGTGCAATGCACACCTTTAGTCATGTAACTAAATAATAAATATCATTGTCATCTAGTCAATACATAATATAAAATTATACTATAGAGGTGAAAATACAGTTGCTAAAATTATTTAGTCTGTCAACTAAGAATTTTCCTTGATCCAACTATGAACTATTAACAGCTAACTACCACATGCAAGCACTTGTGAAATGATATCATTTGGCATATTCATCACAAAATAACTAACTTGCTGCAACAGCTATGTAATGCAACATTATTTCACAAAAATTATCCCATGCTGTATGTTTCCACATTTCTTACGGTTGATGACTTGAGGGAGGTGCATGAAATAATCTATTCAGCGAGTTTCATTTGCTGCATACGCTCTCTGCTTACAATAAATATGTCACACTTGAAACTAGACGGTCACTGTACTGTACTTTTTGCCTGTGGGCGTCTTGGCCCGTCTCATTAAACACTGAGCCCAGACGCAATGGTTGATGTCAGAATTTCCTGACTGACGACTTTATTTCTGAACTGTGAAATCACAAACTTGGACAAACTTCCCCTGGGTTCAGTCATTTCAAAAGCATTGAATAAATGCAAACAGAATTACCAAATTCAAGCACTACATTGAAATAAGCAACGGTAACACTGGTATCCAGGCTATTCCACCAGTATCAAAGGCCATTAAAGGGTTGCCTTGGTGATAAATGCTCCTTTTTATAGGTTGACAATGAGTTCTCAAAAAGATGTTCATTCATTCGTTCAGTTTCTACCGCTTGTCCGGTCCAGGGTCACAAGTGAGCTGCAGCGAATCCCAGATGACTTTATGGGGTACATCTTGGACGGTTTAGCAGTCAAGGACAGGGCACATATCCGTTCCCTCTCACCTTCAAACCTAAGGGCAACTCAGAGTCCTAAATTCAGTTGCATGTTTGGGATTTTGCTGGGAGACCGCTGTGCTAACCACATGCTACGTGATGTAGCATGTGGTTAGCGTCAAAATCGGATATACAGTAGTCCATACTTTTTTTTTTTTTTTTTTAATATGTAGGTAGATGGCTGCTTGTTACTTTTGTGCGGATGAAAGTGTCCTGCTGCTTTCAGGAAATCAATCTCCCCGTCATGGTAGAAGATTTTCTTCCCCAAAAGCAATCCTTATGGGTTAATTGTTTTGATTTCTCCATCGCTACTGGTTTGAATGCACTCTCGACTAACTAATTGTTATTCACTCGACTCTACACTACTCCGCAACTACCCCCATGCATCCCCCTCTACTTCTACTCGTTCTGCAAGATGATCCTGGCTGTTCCCTAAACATTCGCTGCCACCTGCTGGACAGATTTTAAATGATTTACAATGCAGACAAGCCCGATCCTCAGTCAGAGGTTGCGTTGGACCCTTCTGCACTGTACAACGCAAACAAACAAACAAACAAACAAACAAACAAACAATTTTTTCATAAATAAATATGTCATGGGTAGATGGTCGTAATGGCTTTTCTTGGCGTATTCATATGTCATGGGGAATAAAGAGTTAATATTAATTAGTTATACTGTATACTCTATATCGTCCTGTGAAGAACACATATATCCACTTCCATTGTCCAGGAAGTACCGTATTTTCCGGACTATAAGTCGCAGTTTTTTTCATAGTTTGGCCGGGGGTGCGATTTATACTCTGGAGCGACTTATGTGTGAAATTATTAACACATGATTATGTCATTTCATGTTATTTTCACATTCAACCACAAGAGGGCGCTCTCGGTATGTGTTGATAAATCGACGATGAGTCTGACGTAAGCGACGTAGAAGAGGAAGCGGCGCTTCGTCTACCTCCCGAGTTGGGGGAGTTGTTGAAAAGTGACACTGAGGATGAAGATTTCATTGGATTTAGTGATTTAGAGTGAAACTGATAGTTTGGTAAACTTGTTAGCATGTTCTTTATGCTAGAGTTATCTGAATAACTCTTCATATGTTACGACATTACTGACATTACCATGCATGTCAGTCATGTAACCTTAGTATACCGTACACTTATTCAGCCTGTTGTTCTCTATTTCATTTTTATTTTGAATTGCCTTTCAAGATGACATGTATGTTTTTGGTTATGGATTTTATCAAATAAATTTCCCCCAAAAGTGCGACTTATACTTCAGTGCGACTTATATATGTTTTTTCCTTCTAAATTATGCATTTTTTTTGGCTGGTGCGATTTATAATCCGGAGCGACGTATAATCCGAAAAATACGGTAAATTGGCTGTGTTTACTCCCACAGTGGTGCAAAGGCCCCTTTCTAACTGCACCATCTACGAAATTACTAAAAGAAAGAAAACTCCACTTGCATGTGCATGGCTCGACTGCGCTTTGCGCTAAATTTATGCCGGTCACAAAAATAGTGCCCATGTTGTGATTATATAGTTTCACTGTGCAAAAAGGCACGGCCTTTGGGTCAAAAAGGAGCAGAAAGTACTTGTCTGACTTTGTATCTAAAAAAATTCTCCTCTTTGACTTAGGTCATTGCGAAATCACAGGTGATTTTCAAACTAGCTGATTTATGTACTTTTTCATATGCACTTTGTACCATCCAATTCGAAGCTGTTATTTTAGGTTTAAGACAACATATATCTTTAAAATTGTTTGTACTGTGTGTGTTCTTACACACACCACATTGCCTGAATTACTAGAGTCAGACCGGCAGTTTAAATAAGTCTTTGAATAATAAAAGCTTGACTAATTCATGACTTTGCCTCTGCCTGCCCCTCTCCACACACACACACACACACACACACGCACACACGCACACACACACACACACACACACACACACACACACACACACACACACACACACACACAAACACACGCA